GGGGTGCATCCCCCAAAGGACTTCCTCGCACCTCTTTTTGGGGGGGTTCTGCCTTCACACCAGCTTGCACGGCTTTTATTATTATTATTTCCTCCCTCCCCCCGTGCGCAAGGACTTTTGCACCCATCCGGACAGCTCCCCCTGCCAGCACGGGCATCCTCGCCGCTTGCCTGCCTGGTTTTTCCCAGCCAGAAAGAGCTGGTCTTCTCTCTCTTTTTTTTCTTCTTTTTTTTTTCCTGGGCAGGACCCGGCTGCACTCCTCCGGCCCCAGGGAGGTTTGGTGGCATCTCCGGGTCCTGTCTTCTTTTTCTTTTCTTTTTTTTTTCTTCTCCTCCCTCCCTTCTCCGCGTCCAGCTCCCAAAGCTGGAAGTTGGATTTTTAAAAGCAAGCCCACTTAAGAGATTTGTTGGGGGGGAGGTTTTATTCACTGGTTTCCTTTTCTTTTCTTTTTTGGTGGTTTGATTTCTAAAGCCCGGTTTCTCTTCCGTCTTAGTCTCCGGGTGCGTGCACATAGTCTCCCCCTTTTATCCACCATCCCGGAGCGAAGAACATTTTTCCCCCACCCCCGCCGTTGTGCTGATTTAAGGAGATTTTCTTTCTTTTTTTATTTTTTTTCCCCCCCTCTCTGCTGACATCCGATTTTTTTTTTTTCACTATCTTTTAACACAGAAACGCTTCATTAAGGGGCTGAGACAGTACGGAAAGAACTTCTTCAGAATCCGAAAGGAGCTACTTCCCAATAAGGAGACTGTAAGTACAATTGCACTTTATGTAACTTGCCATTTTTTTTTTTTCTTCCTCCCCTTCCTGCCACTTCTCGCTGTTTGATCTTATGAAACTGTTTCCTTTTAACCCTGAATTGAATCCCCGACTCAGATGTTTGGAAGAGAAGGCCACAGCTGACAAAGGTTACTGCAGTTTTTAAGCATCGGGTATGGAAGAGGGTCTCTCTCGTAGCCTTGTTGTTACTGGAAGGAGTCGGCCGGTGGTGGTTGGGGGGGTGGTATTTATAGAGGCTAAATCTAATTTTAAATACAGGCATTATGTTGGGATAATTCATTTATGTCACCAACTTAGGCTCAAATGGCAGCGGGTAATTAACAAAAGCCTAAATCAAAACAAAATCTAATTGAATCTGGAAGAAGGAGGTATGTGGCGGCTGCTTTTACGATCTGTAGGATTTAGTTGTTGCTGTTAACTCTTTGCGCTCCTGTAACATTCGGACAGCGAGTCTCTGACTCAAGTTGCTAAATTGATTTTCAGGCTCGTTGCTCCTTTCAGACTTCATAACAGTCCAGTGCAAAAAACCCTTGCAGGCGTTTGAGCAGGGAGTTAGCTGGGGACGGACGGACCCTTTGAAAGAGGGCTTGGGAAGCTCTGGGAACAAGTTTTCCATTAGTCCTAATTGCCCCGCTTCTCTAGAAGCTTCGGTTTCCGTGCTGCAGGTGTCATTTAACTACTTGCAAGGTGGTGTTGGGAAGCAGCCTGCACTGTTGCCCTGAATTTATGATAGTACAGTGAAAACGGAGTTCGGTCTGCTATTTTTTCTGGGTGATGAAGAAAGGATTTGTATCTAAGTGGCACTTGCCATATTTCTGTAAACATCACAGGAAGAATATATCGTGTGCACAACAACGTGGTGAGAGAGAGGAACATTGTCATTGCGAGTACTTCTGTTGTACATTGTGGGACTGCTCTAAGACATGGTTTCCTTTTACTCTCCTGAGAGGTGTGCCCGTGACATTTCGATTGTGAAATCATAGTCCCTGATGAGTAAAAAAATTAATAACGTCACTCAAGGCAAAGAGAAAGGGGAAGGGGAAGGGGGAAATGCTTCTTGGGGAGTATCTCAGTCTGTAAAGGCATTAACTGGTTTTCTGGGAACGTTAGGAAATACTTGTTACTGTATCAGACGCAGTAACTAGATTTGGATTTGTCTGTGGGTCCAGATGACATACTAGAAGGGAGGTTGAAGTGCTCTAAAACCTCACAGCATTTAACAAATCCAGCATGAAGTCTGCATAAACAGTTCTCCCTTTGGTTTTCTTCAAATTAACTCCCTGAAATTGTATTCAAGACAGATTAGCTTCTAGGGCAGAAAAGCATTCTGCTTCAAGTGAAGTAATTGATTGTTCAATCTATTTAAAAATACGCCTTAATTTCAGCTGCATCTGTTATGACATGTACTTTTAAAAATAACGTGCATTCCTGCTTTCCCAAAGAGAAACAATTAGAGCAAAGAAGGAAAGACAGATGGAAGTCTGGAGAACCAGGGGCATGCATCTGACCCTGCTTTCCTGTGCTGTGCAGTCTGACTCGCTTTTGAACTTGAATTTCACAGACCTTGTGTCCTCTCTCAAAGTTCTGCAAAGTTGCAAGCTATGTGAAATTTGAGACAGGCCATCACTGTTCAAGCATTACATTTTTATTGTGTTAGGCCTAAACTTTTAGTACAGGGAAGATTAAGCATTAAGTCCAAGCAATTTGAAGTAGCATGTAGATGGTATTGAGCAGGCTGTTTTAGCCCCTAGTGGTAACTGATCTACAAGTAACCTTTGACCTACGACAGATTGTTTAATCTGTGTTTCCTATTCTTGCCCACAGGTCTCCCTTCTGCTTTTTCAGTGCTTGGCCTTGCATGCCTTATTCAGGCAAAACTCTCAGTAGAAGTTCTGCCTGAGTAAAGAGTTCACGATCAAGCCCATATTAGCTAATGTTTGACTCCTTGAGTTTGCTGTTTTTCCCTTGGAGTGGAACAAGGACAACTGCCAGTCATACAGCTGCAGATTTAGGTCTGCTGTATCTTTCTTTGATCAGAAAGGGCTCCAGAGTCCTTGCTTGCTATTGTTCCCTTCCAGTATGAAATAACATGCCACTAACCCTGAAAAGGTCTCTGCTAGTCCAGGCCACTAGACCACCAGGAGGTATAGAGAACTATATGGGCAAGACAACTATGGTAGCTGTACCCGACTTCTGCCAAACCTGTTTTAAAAGGAGTTGGATCCATTCCTGAAGTGACCTGCCCCAGGTGAAAACAAGGTTGCAGGTCCTACAAACTCCTAGTTTGTCAGAGCCAGTATCCCTCGTGTCTTGGAGGATGAGGGCCAAGGTTTTCCCTTGACTGCTATGAAAATTGTCATAAATCTTTGCTCGTTAAAGTCTGCAAAACGGATTTGAAGGCAAACCTTCCTAGTATCACTCCTCTGTCACGTACACCCTCGTGGATGCCTGCGTTCAATTTGCCTGTAGAGCGAGCGACTTCCGGCTAGTGCCCATTCTGGTTTTTGTACAGACTCTGTAGTTGAATTATTCCAAGGGATAATTCAAATAAGGGATCTGATCAGAGAACTTGTGGAAACCTTAAGGCCCCCTTAACTGGCCAGAGCGGTAGAGAGCGGCACTGATGAGAATTAAGAAATGAACGTTCAGGCCTGTGTTGACTGTGCTTCATTTCCCACGAGCACACTAAAGAAATGTCTGTTTGAGGGATGCCTTTATTTCTTCCCCTGTCCCAGCGCATGTATCATGCACCTTTTAAAGCAAATCTTGTATTTACCAATTTGTGCATTTCAGCTGTGACAGTTTCTTCTAAATGAATAAGCAGCAAGGAAAAGAAGATCCTGATGAAAGAACATATTTACTGTATATCAAAGCTGTGTATTTAGATCATCTCTCTCCCAGTTTATTTCAAAGCAATTATGTCTGAGAGAGGTTCCCAGTGGGCGTGTGCATAAATAGCTTTAGCATTCTCCTCCAGCTTTTATGAGCAAGAGACACAGGAACTAAAGCTAGTTCTTATCTGAGCATGCCCCCTGCTGAAAGGGAATGCTGAAGTTGATTAAAGCGAGCTAACAAGTTTATGGAGGTTTAGTTGGATCAGTAAATGTTAACCTTGTGGTGCCCTAGAGAAGGAGTCTGTATGTAAATTTGGTTTAATATCATTTTTGTAGTTTAACTTCATATTTCTCTCTCCTTTCTTCTATCCATCTTTTCCCCCACCTCCTCATGAATATTTTCCCTTTCACTTCTGTTTAATACACTGATAGAATGAAAACATCAGTTCTGGAATCCAGGACTCCTGGGAGCAGTGTTTTTGACTCTTTCTCTTCCCCCACTACCTCCCCAGTATAACATTTGCAGCCCTCCCCACCTCCCAAAACCCCATTTACTTGTCACTTAAGTCTAAGTCATTTTAGAAAATGGCATTTAGGCCCTAAATGGCTTAGAGCCTCTGGAAAATTTTACTTAAGGTTTGCAGATGCAGAGAAAGCACTTTTGTCCATTTTGCTTTGGCTTGAACTGGACATTTTCTGTATCTGGTACTTTTGTTAGAGGCTTTGTTTGAGAATTTGTAAGCCCCTATTACCAGCCTTTGTTTCACTCCGCATCTCCCAGACGATAGCATTAAGTTACCTGAAATTTCATAGTGAGAGGCCTGAGAGAGAGACTTTCAGGCCTGCTAGACTGGAAGCATATCATGCTGTGCCCTTCTAAAGTAGGGAGTTCACTGCTGGGGCTATACCAGTGGTAAAGAGAAAGGCAGAAGGGAGGTACGCTCTGGAATCCTTCTTCCTGTTGGGAAAGCAGTGGAGTTGAAAAACAGGCTAGGCAACTTTGCTATTTGGCATACCAGAAACTGGGAATATCCCTAGGTTGGAACAGGAGGGAGAGAGAGAGAGAACATGGAGTGATGCTGTCAGGTAGGGGACATGGTCAGATTTAGTGCTGGGGTCATTTTTATTTAATTAAAAAAATTTTTTTTGTTGGTCTTTGCCGGTCTGTGGGGCCATGGGTAAGACACTTAAGGGCAATGTTTTTTCATCAGAGTGGTGTTAAGGTGCCTATTGCTTCCTGGAAAGATGCAGAATCTCCACTAAAACATTGTGGAAATGCTTGCCATCTCGCAGGGTCAGGCCCTAAACTTCTTGTAGCTCCTCTTAGCCAGCTTTAAAAGGTGAGTGAAACTTACCTTTGGGAAATGTTAAACGAGTGTGACTTTTACAGAACGCAGCTTGTTTTCCCCATGATTGGGACCCGTCTTGCCCGTGCCAGGCTGCAGCACAACAGGCCTTGCGTGGCTGCAGAGTGAAAGGTATAAAGAGGGGATGGCTAGGCTTTGTGGAGGGCACAGTGTTTAGTCCACATGGGCCACTGAGGCTCAGTTGGCATCTTCCCTTTAGCTTGGCCAGCTAGAAGGGACAAGACAGAAGGCAATTAATCTACCCATTTTGCTTCCTGGCTGATGCCTTTGTGCTTAGTCTTTGGAATCCACAACATTTATGAGAGTCATGAAGATAGTCCGTTCCCTTAGATCAAAACACCTGCAATGTGTCCTGTTACTTGTACACGTAACTACTGAATATGCATTATCCATGTCTTTAGGCAAACTGTTGGCTTATCTGGCAGCAATCTTTTTCTGCCCAAATTGAATGCTGTTGAGACTTATGGCTGAGAGTAGCTATATTGTGCTTGGTTAGTATTGGGAGCAAAAATAACTGCAGTGCAAGTCTTAGGATAAAGTTTTATTTAATTTCAGGTTGGGGGTTTAGATGAGCAGTCTTACTCTTGCCTCATGAGCGCTTAATCTAGTGTTACATAATCAGCAGTATTGGCTTCCTGAGCCACTCTTAAAAAAAAAAATCCGGTGCTGATGTATTGCAGCAATGCAACGGCAGTTCGGAAAGGTCACCACACTTAACACACACAGGCTGGCTCAGTTTTTGTCCTCTGTACTGTCAGTTTTGTAGGCA